TTTAACATACGATTTCGTTAAAAATTTTCGTAAGTTTTGAAAGTTTTAGAATTTTTTCCTTAAAAAAAAAATTGATTGATCATTTGAATTGAATATTTGAAAAAAAAACACAAAAAAAAGCCAAAATAAATGATTTATTGATTTTATACAATTGTATTTGCAGTGCAAGGGGGTAACCACCAATAACATAAACCATATGTCGTACTCGTATTTAAAAAAAAATGTATACATTTATGCAAATTAGATAAATTAACGATAAAACCAAAACATTATGTTACTACTACACTACTAATGAAAAAATTTTCATAGTAGTAAACAACACTAATGATTTTAAATTATAGCGCGAAAAATAAATAAATGGGTATTTCGTAAAATAAAAGGAGTTTATAATTTTCATGACCAAGAGGAAAAGAGGGAATAAATTTTAATTTTGAGTCATTTAGGTTGTGTTGTTAATTGGTTGGTTGTGTAAAACCCAGACCCGGGTTTTGGGTCTAAAAATCGACTAAACCAGCTTTGAGCATGAACCTCTAGCATAGACCCGGGGTAATAAAAAGTGATACTTTTAATTTCATATTTCTACCTATTGCATAGATTATTTATTTTTTTTTAATTTCTAATTTGCTTTTATTAAAATGATATAATTTTTAAATTACAATAATAAAATATATCTAATATAACAAGTCATATATTAAAAATGAGTGTAAATTTTAAAAATATCGATGGCTCTAAAAAGAGCTTATAGTAAAAAAGTACCTAAAAAACATGTATAATTATGTTTAAAAATTTCTAATTGTATTTTTTGTTTTAGGAAGTTGTTGGCTCGATTTGAGCCGATTTTTAAATAACAGCTAACTCAATATTTTAGCCAGGAAAATATTTCATAAGCCTTTAGATTTCGCTAATAGACGTTCAAACCTTGGTGCCATCTATAAGCAAAATCTTCAGGCTTGTATTATATTTTTCTATGAGATAGATGTTTTTAAAAATCAGCTCAAATCGAGCCGCTTGACAACCCTACTCCAGCAATTTACCTCTCCATTAAAGAGTGTTAAAATAATTTATACATATCCTAAATGTGTATCTATTTTTCCTTCTAATAACTTGCCCGTTTGTTTTATTAATCAAGTTGAAGTTATGCAGTACGGAAGACTGGCATAATAAATAAATATGAATGAATATATTAATTTAATAAATAATAATTATATTTTTATTAAAAACAGATGATTTAAGTACTTAATTCATTTTACAGTGTTGTGATTGATGATTTAATGAAAATGAAACATATTAACGATTAAATTAAAACTCATCTATATAAAATTATTTTGGTGGCAAGAATAATTAAAATAACAAAAGGAATAATAAAAGAATTTTCTTTTCAATAATGCTTTGTCTATATTTTAATTATTTTTGCAAAGAAAATAATTTTTATATGGATGGGTTTTAATTTAATCGTCAATATGTTTAATTATAATCATCACAACACTGTATGTACATTTAACTTTATGAGGAGAATTTCCTTATAATTTCCTAGTTAAAGGATTTTTTAAATGCTGGAACCAAGCATAGTTCAGTTGGTTTAAGCTATATTATCAGTTGATTTAAGCTACATTAAACAACTTATTCTCATGGAGGCAGATGCTTTTAATTTTTATTCTAAATCCTGATCAGCCTGACAATGATATTATTTACATAATTATTAGAATTTTATAATATGGTTAATATAAATAAAAATTATTAGTGATTATATCGATTTTAAAAAAAATTATTGTCAAGGTATTTGTATCTAAATACTTTATTCGAAATAAATTTTGTGAGTAATTAGCGTCAATGCGTTTTTCCGGGAATATATTATTTTCTCAACTTTAAATCGTTTTTTGAGCGCGTTTTTTAAATCTAAAATTTTGATCCTACCGGAAATGTATTCCAGCATGTTTAGAAGGACCTATCTTATGAATTGCTGATAATTTCGATGATTTTTCAGCATTTAACAATTTTTATAAAAAAAATTTAAAAGTTCATGGAAAAAATTGTCTGTAAGAGTAGGTATTCCAAAGCCAAACATGACGGCATACATTTCCGGTAAAATCAGATTTTTAAATTATAAAAAAAAGCGCTAAAAAATGATTTGAAGTTGAAAAAATAACACATTCCTGGAAAAAAAACACATTGACGTTAACATATAAATTTTTTATATATTTTGTTTAAGAACGTATTTATTTTTTTTGAAGTGCAATTATATTCGATACATTTATTGAAAAATTTGCCCAACCCTGATTATTTTATGATCCATCTAGAGATATTTTTTTATGTTGAAATTGAAACTATTTTTTGTTCATTAACTTTAAATACTCTTAATAAAATAATTTTTTTAAAAAAAACAGGCTGAACCTTTTGATATCCTAATTGTTTCAAATATTATTATCAATCAATTTTGATTGGTCGGTCTTAGATCAGTATCATTCGCCATTTTTAAAATCAAATATTTATATTATAATTAATAAATAAATAAATACTGTTTAATCCGTTATAACATAACCGTTAGCTGCTTTATCTATGGAATTTAGTGATTTACTTTTAAAAATGTGTCTCTCTGCATTATTTCACTTTGTATGCACTAAAGGTTCGAACGGGTTTTTAAAAACGAACCGATTTTATTATTTTTTATAAACCAAGTTTCAACTCCTACCAGTTATTTTTACATGAACCTGGAAGATATTCGCTATGGTTCGATACCCTGAAAAATATTAATTTTTTGAAGTATTTAAAAATTTAAATGATTTTTAAGCATATTTCACCCCTTTCCCCATTTCTATAGACAAGTTATCATTTTAACTGTTTACAAAAAAATATGTATGTTATCGTTATGTCTAGATATAAAAAAAATATTATAACATTTTACTTATATTAATACTAAATAAAATTTATGGTCAAGAGGAAAATATGGAGGAAAGAGTAGTTGTAAAAAAAGGAAGGTCAAGGTAAATATTTTTATATTTTAAAATTGTTTTTTTTGTAAAGTAAAATTAATAATATTTATAAAATTTATTAATTTTTATTTATATTTATTTTTGAAAAAAAAAATAAAATAAAATAAAAAAAATGGAAAAAAAAAAGATAATCATTTAATAAAATGGCCTATATTTATGTAATTTGTTATTGTTCAAAAATTTGTATGTCTAATAAAATAGTTGAAAAGAATCATGATTCATGAGAAAGGAAATGAATCCAAAAGAGGTGAAAAAAAATATAAATTAATCTATGAAATTTTTATTTTAAAGTTAAGAAAATTTTTGATCAAATGTTACCTTAAAAATTCCAGATATTTTTGGTAAATATTTCATACTTTTCATGCATAAAAAACTTCAAGATAATTTCAATTTTTTTTTGAATCTTCAAAGAATTTGGCTTGAAAAATATTTGAAGATTTTTTTCAAAATCTGCATTCTTGGGAGAAAAAAAAATGGGAAAAATTAAATATTAAAAAAAGTCTTAATATGTTTATAGGTTTTTAAAAAAAAACAAAGTTATCATGCTATAATAATAAATATTTAATTCCTCTCTTGCTAAATAATTGAGTTAATAATAAAATTATTCAAAATTTTTAAATAGGTGTTTAATTAAATATGTATATTATCTCAATTAATTATTTCTAAATAATTTTTTAAAATATAGAATTTAATAGGGAATGCCAATATAAAATATCAAATTGGAGCGGATATTTTAAAAAATAACAATCTGATCTAATTTCATTTCATCATTGTATAAATAATTATATAATATTTTTTTTATTTTATACATAATTTTATAATAATAAAAACCAAAATTCAATAGAGTTGTAATGTAATGCTTCAAAAAATGAATTGAATTATAAAAGATGACTAGCTAAATATTTTATAATATTTTTGGTTATATTATCACAAAAAAGATGACTTAAAAATATTGAAAAAGTCAATTCTGCTAGTTTTGCTATATGACTTGATTTGGCTGATTTTAAAAAAAGATAAACTCAAGATTTTATCAATTGTAAATTAACCAAGCTTGGAGATTTTGAAATATATGGCAGAAATATTTGATTATTAATAAAATTTTAAGACTTGTGTAACAATATTTTGACTAAATGGTTAATTTTATCCATTTTCAAAAGTTGGTTAAATGGGGGTGTTTAACATTAGATTCAGTCTTAAACATTGCCCATATTTTAAAAAATTATTTGGTTCAAAGATTGATGGTAAATAAAATCTATCTGTCATTAAATTTATATTATAATAATATTGGATTGATATAAAATTTGTAGATCAACACAGCCCTACTTTATTGTAAAAGATTCCAACAAGATCTATGGAGTTGTTTTGCCATTTTTTTCAACTTGAAAAAAGGTATTTTTACATCTAAAATTAGCAAAAAATAAAAAGAAAATATATCAAAAAGAAATTTAAAAATTTTGAGGTGGATTTCCATCATTACCAAGGGTCATGAGCTCCTCCACCAATGATGCTACTCAACCAAATTAATTCAAAAGTGTTTTTTTATAAAATTTTAAAACTTTTGATATATTAAAAGGCATTTTCAACTTTAGACAAATATATTAAATAAAATATAAAAAAATTTTAAAATAACTAAATTAATTACACAATAAATACAACTTATATTTTCAATATAAAATTGTTTATTAAAAATTATATTCAACTATAATGGATCTTTTGGTTACTACTATAGAACATTTATTTTAATGCAAAATAATAAATTCATATTGGGAAAATGTAAAAAAATAAGATCTAACTTTAAAAATTATATGTTAGAAAGTGCCATTCCAGGATTTTTTAGAGCCATTCAAAAAAATGGGCAAAAAAGGAAATAATATCTTAAATTAGCAAAAAAACCTCTGGACCCATTAAATCCCCAAAATACCTATTAATGTTTTGTGTAGATAAATTAAATTTTCAGATAATAGTAATTATTTGTATAGAATTTATTTTTAAAAAATATACTATATTTACATTTATAGTTAATTTTATATCTGTTCCATCAAGTAAGAGAATTTGACAAATGAATGTTTTATCTTTTTTCTTCCAAAAAGCAGATGAATATCTATCTTCATTTTTGAACTTTTCACTTAATCTGTTATCAATTTTATTGAATTTCCGTTTACTTATTTCGAATTTTTGAGAACGATTAAACAAACGCATCATGATCAATATCTTAAAAATAATTTGAATTATTGATGACTTAGACTATTAATTATAAAGATCTTAAAGGTAATATTCTAATATTTATTACGACAGATGATTTTTTCATTTGATTATATTGATTTAATTATTTTAGAATAAATATATCTTATAAATATAATATCACGTTGTATCTAAACTAATAATTGACAGATATATTAAGAATTGATAGGTAATCCAAGAATGGGCCTCTTAATTATATTTTAAAATGTAGTTGAAATTATTTTGTTGTAGGGCCCAAATTTATCCTAAATCATATTTAAATAGAAAATAGTGTTTCTAAGAAAATTATTTTATAGATATTACAATATCTGATACATTAATTTATATAATAATATAATATATATTTTATTAATTTTATCAATAATTTATACCATTTGTCAAAAAATATAAATTATTATAACATATATGCTAATTATAGTTGCCTTATTTATTTTAACTCAAATTTTTTATTTATACTACTATTTATGAAATTTTATTTATTTTATGACATTCAAGTTTAACATTTTATTTTTCTTATATAAACTTATACTTTTAGAAGTATCGTAATGTATTATAAAAATAAATTTGTTTTTATAAATAAGTCTTGTGTTACCTAGGTTGTTTAAATATGGTAATTAGAAAAAAAAAAAATTTTTTAACAAATCCTTGTAATGGATACATTATATTTAAATATAATAAAAAGTTAAATTATACAATTTAATATATAACATAATAAATGACATAATAGTTATTTTATAAGATAGTTTGATAGCTTATTAGAGTTTTAAATTGAAAACTTAAATTTTTAGATGATAATTATTTGTTTGGATTTAATCACATTTGTGCTAACATATATAATTATGGAATGCCAACATTCTGAAATTTCTTTATTATTTTGGGAATTATACCAAAAATAGATATCAAATCTAATTTTAAGCATTTTTGAGTTTATGAAAATATTTTATTTCTTTCACTAATTTGTTGATCACTCAAATAATTGGGATTTAAATGCGTAATGAATCATGGAAGCATATAAGAAACAATTTTTTCCAATACCGCCGTTACTACTATACCCAAGAAATAACTATACCCCATTGTAGTTTGATGGACTTTAAAACTAAATATTAGCCTTGAAAAAGCCATTTTTTATATTATATCTATATTAAAATTTTCCGATGTCCTCACTACGTCATCCCGACGTCATGTTATCGGTACGTATTTATTTTTATTTTTTTTATTTGTTGATTTTATTTTATTCATACAGATAAATGGAATTGATGGAGTACACATACCTAACATCGATTGTGAGATTTAAAAAATCGTCTTTGAATTGATAAAAAATATTTCCTCAAATTTGTAAATATGAATCAAACTTTTTATTTCACTTAATCCTTTATTTATTTTTTAGATTACCTTATCAATTTTCATCTCATATTATCAATTACACATTAATGAAATCTTTTTATACTAATATTTTTCTTTCATAACCATAAATAAGAAGTTAACCAGTATATTTAAATATGCTTATCCTAACCTATTTATAATCTCCAATCATTATAAATAACTCTTTCTTTATTTTTTCCCCTCCCTTAATGAATTTATTTATCACTAAATTTTATTATCTCATTCTTTTCTTTTTATCTCTATTATCTATTAACCACTATTTCTCAAAACCTTATCAATTCCTTTAATTTAATTTTTATTATTTTTATAATATAATAATTTATACCTTCTTTTTCCCCCTCCCTTTTTAAATCTTATTTTCTAATTACCTTACAATTAATTAACCTTAATCTTAATAACATTACATTCATCATATTATTTATTAACTTTTAGAATATCATAATATGCTTGATAAGTCCCCCAAAAAATTTTTCCTGATGATAGCCAAACCTTATCTATTCCTTTAATTTAATTTAATTTAATTTTTATAATATAATAATTTATACCTTCTTTTTCTCCCCTTTTTTAATCTTATTTTTTAATTACCTTATAATTAATTAATCTTAATCATTACATTCATCATGTTATTTTTTAACTTTTAGTATCATAATAAGCTTGATAAGTTCCCCCCAAATTTTTTTTGATGATAACCCTTCAATTACTAGAAATATACATCTAATATTGACCCATTTACTTATTTTACATTATTTTATTGTTTAATTTCAACAATAGTTTATTTATATTTTTGCCTGATTTCTTTATTTGTCTAAGCATCCCTCACATTGCTACAAAACATGATGAATCTATTATTAAAGATAAGCAAAGAAAGTAATGATGATTAAACAAACGCCTTTCCCGTTCTAGAGTTACTGGTAGACAAAATAATAAAGAACTACGCTTGAAATGAACTCATCTGGAGGTTTATTTTTATTTTTTTATATTATGTTTTATATTATTTTATTTTCACCCAGTTCTCCAAATGATATTTCTATCACCACTACCACAATCCTTATGCCACCTCCACCAATTTTTTTAACAAATATAAACATTTTTATTTATCACTAAATTTTATTATCTCATTCTTTTCTTTCTATCTCTATTATCTATTAACCACTATTTCTCCATACCTTATCAATTCCTTTAATTTAATTATTATAATATAATAATTTATACATTCTTCTTCCCCCTCCCTTTTCTAATCTTATTTTCTAATTACCTTACAATTAATTAACCTTAATCTTAATAACATTACATTCATCATGTTATTTTTTAACTTTTAGAATATCATAATAAGATTGATAAGTCCCCCAAAATTTTTTTTTGTTGATAGCCCTGCAACTACTAGAAATATGCATCTAATATTGACCCATCTATCGGTTTTACATTATTTTACTATTTGTTTAATTTCAACAATAGTTTGTTTATATTTTTGCCTGATTTCTTTTTTTGTCTAGGCGTAGGGTTACTCTTTAACACTTACTTTCACTGTATTACTAAATATCACAAAATTTTAAGAAACTACTTCATATAAATTGCCTTATTCAATCACATTTCCCTGTTTTGAAAATTTTAAAGATTATAAGTCTATTAAATTGTGTTATTAAACTGAATTTCTCTTCACATATAAGGGCAGACGTTATTTTGTCATGATTCTCTAATAAGTGCTTTGTACAAATTATTATTATTTTTATATAGAAATTCATAACTGAGTTAATTCAATAAATTTAATACCTCTAGGCTTGAGAAAATTTTTTCAAAATTTTTATGGATTGGACTGGGCTTAAAAAATATTTCTCAAAATTAAACCTATATTGGGATTTTTTTATGTTAAATGTTAGTATTATGTTATTATTTTTATAAAGTAATATATTTTACCCGTAGACTAATTTGTAAATCAGAGATTTTCCCTTCATTAATTATAAATTTAATATCTCTGGGCTTGGTTTAAAAGTTATTAGGAATTGAGGTGGGCTTGAGAAAATCTTTTTATATATTTAGATCTTGGATGCTTGGATATTTTTTCCAGGTATTGTAGGCTTGAACCTATATTGGGATTTTTTAATGTTAAATGTTAGTCTTATGTTAATATTTTTATTATAAAGATATATATTTTAACTCAAAGAATAGTTTTCAGTAACATACAAAATGTATACTGATTATGCTATGCCCACAACATATGTATCCCTACTAAAGATATCACTAACATTCATTTTAACAACAGTCTCAAATAATATGGGAAAAATCAAAATTTAAAAAATACTAAAATTCTCTTTTTTGCTTTCTTTCCCTTTTTATTTCTTTTATTATCTTCCCCTTTCTCATCATTTCCCTTTCCTATCTTCACTTTTTAATTTTCTTTATCTTTACCTTCCTTTCCCTTTTATTTTCCCCTATTTTCTTTCCATTTAATTTTCTCCTATTTCCCTACCTCAGGATACACACTCCACGAAAGCTGGGCTTATCAAAAAATAAATATCATTCATCTTAATTCAACTCATATTCAAGTAAAAAAATTATACTGGGGCATATGACTTGAAGCCCAATAAAATCTACCAAATGCAAAATAAAGTTATTCATCTATAAATACCAAAACTTATACTTCTCATTTTAGAATACATCTATTTTAGCTTCTGATGGATGATATTCCCACTATTTCTAGAAAGGTAAACCTAATATTGACTCCTCTTCAAGTTAAATACATTAATATGTTTTTTAATTATTCTTTTGTTTTTATTAGATAACAAGCCATGTCCTAAAATCACTTAATGATTGTACAGGTGGTATATTGACTCCTCATCAGGTTCAATGCATTTATTTTTTTTATTTATTCTTTTGTTTTTATTTAGTAACAAGCCATGTCCTAACCTCAGTTAATGATTGTACAGGTGATGATTTACCCGTCATTAATAAAAGAAAAAGATGGCAGGTCAATCAAAAAAAGAAACGCACTAGGGATAGCGAGGCCTTACAAAATCTACTAACAACTCAAAATAAAGTTAGCCTTATATATATATTTTTTATACTCTTTTATATTATGGAATATATCTATTTAAGCTTCTGATAATGTTCCTACTATTTCTGGGGAGTTGAACCTAATATTGACTCCTCTTCAGGTTAATTGCATTTATATTTTTTATATTATTCTTTATTTTTATTTTAGACAAAAAGCCCTGTCATACCCTCATTTAATGATTGTACAGGTGGTATGTTGACTCCTCATCAGGTTCAATGCATTTATTTTTTTAAATTATTCTTTTGTATTTATTTTAGGTAACAAGCCCTTTCTTAACCTCACCTAATGATTGTACAGGTGGTGATTTATCCGTCATAAATAAAAGAAAAAGATGACAGGTCAATCTAAAAATGAAACGCTAGGGATCGTGAGACCCTACAAAATCTACTAAGAAGGCAAAATAAAGTTAGCTTTATATATATATATATATTTTATTTTTTTATATTTTAGAATGCATCTATTTTAGCTTCTGATGATATTCCCTCTATTTCTAGGGAGTTGAACCTAATATTGGCTCCTCTTCAGGTTCATTGCATTTATATTTATAATATATTATTCTTTGTTTTTATTTTAGA